TAATCTAATTTCAATAATTTTTTCCATAGGTTAGTTTCTTTATTTTAGAGCTCGGGGAGTGTCTTGAGTTCTTTGTTTGGTTGCCTGGGGTGGGGTATGCCCCTTCATTTATGTTTACTTCGGGGGTTCTCCTCCATCGGTCAATGTATTCTTACTTACCGAAAAGAAAGACTAGTTAGGTACCGTAGGTAGAGCATATTCCAACACTTCGGATAACCACTTGACATTGGCACCTTGGCCAGGTAGATCCGTCCCACTCTCCGGACCTCACCTCTGCTTTTTTGGAGTACGGGATGACTCGGATGGGCAGATAAAACAGAACCTGTCAGTTACGCCTTTAGGGGCCGCCACGTATAGCTTTAGTTTATGCTGTAGCATCGGTTATTGCTCTGGTTACGAATGACCCAATCTATCTATGGCAACCACCCCTACTTTTAGTAGATGGAGATGCGCACCTAGGAAAGCGCGGAATAGACCTACGTGTCGGCCAGTGCCGGGGCAGAGATAGGGACCATGAAAGCATGGGATTCAATCGAACCTTTTCGGACAATTCCTAACGCAGAAGAGGGATGCTAATAAGCTGACAGCTCAGGCATGGCTTCAATAGCGAAAGAAGTTCTTTCTGATTTGAATCAAGAAAGACAATGAATTTACGAGATCTTGATCCGTTCAGTGCCTTCACTTGTGAACAACAGGGACCCATTCTGTTGATTGCTTCTCTGCCCCAGCTCTAACAAACTGGTTTTTCTTTCTCACAGAATTAGGGAAATCATTAGATTCTTCTTCCTTCTTTCGGTAACATATACCGAGATAGGCTGGGAAATCCCCCTTCGATAGACAGGTGGCAACTTGACCTCTAAGTAAGGACAGGAACGCCCGTGCCCAATCAAACACCACAATCATGAAAAGCACCTGAACCGAGACCTAAAGCTGAACCGCTGAAGGAACCTCTTTCCGTTGTTAAAGCAAGTACGCTTTTCAAGCTTTTTCCTTACTCTTACTAAAGCAGGCACACGCAAAACTCTCTATTTGGCTTTTCACTGAAACCAATACGTCTAAACATAAGGTAGGTGCTTTCACGACTCACTAAACGGGGGATCAAAATCTTTGCGCAGTAGAGGCGGAGGACGAAGCGAATGTAGAGGACACAGCATATCCAGGGAAGGAAGATGGACTGGACTCACTCTCATTCATGGCATGGGCAAAAGCAGCCCTAATGACTTTCAGTGAAGATATGCTTATACGGCGAAGTCAGTCACAAAGTCTATGTTCGTATGCTTTCACTCTAAGCCGACCATCCAAAAAGGATGTGCACAATTGATCATTGACCGCAGTCTTCTCTTTTCTCTCCCAATGTGGGGAACTTTTTTCGGTTTTTTTCTCTTCAGCACAGCACTCAATGGTGATGCATGGCGTCATTACTGAATCCTTTCATTGACCTTTCTTTTCTATAACGAAAAAAGCCCTCCTCTCGGTGATGTGGGTGAGAAACCCAAATCAGAAAAGCTCAGCAAGCCAATGGCTCAACGGTTCTCACCACCCTCCTCTGGCGCAAACACCGTTTGCTGCGCTGCGCTCATCACGAGAAGCCGGGGAACTCTCTTGGGTGGACTTCAAGCGCGATGATAGTCAGTCTGAAGTTTTCTACTATGCCATCTTTATTAGTTCAAAGACCGGGCTTGGGGGTTGGTCTCAGTGGTCAATGAAAATGTACTAGTGTGCTGTCTTAACATGCAGAAATTTTATTAGACTGCTAGCTTTACCAGCGGTAGGAGGGTGAAAAGACGGTGCATGAGCGAAGTAGGATCCTCTTTTTTTGTATCCCATCGACGATATTCTTTGGTTTTGGTACATAACAATTTGCATAAGCAAAGTCGAATATTTGTTACAAATCTAGATCCTGCACTCTCATCTCTAGTCTCTAGCTATCATCTTAGTATATTAGTCAAGCTATATCTTGTACTTTCTTGGGCCTAACTAAGAAAAGAGAACAAGAAAAGCAAAAGCAAATACGACTTTCAGCCAGGCTGCTTCATTCAAGTCTAGGACTTAGGCAAGACTTATAAATCGAGCAGTTATAAAGCAGTTTAATCGCATTTATCGTCTCTCACTTAGCTCTGATCTGGTGTCGTCGCTCACAGTCCAAGAAGAGTAGTCCTTTCATTGGCTAGCGGGATTACGCTTAATGGGATAGACCGATCATCGCTTCCTTCCTCTACTAGTTCTGGAGTCAAGCCAGCAAAGAAGTAGACTCCTTCCTTTTTCACTGGCTAGCATCATAGGGATATTCGACGTTTAATGAGATAGTCTAGTTCTAGACTAAAGCTAGCAAAAAACAAGACTGAGGTCGATAGGGGCATTACTAGTAATTGCTAAGGTGCTTTATTAAGTATTTTCCACGCTCCTCTCCAGTCTCTTTCCAGCCTTTGTGATTTCATATACTATTCCCGTATGCCATATCTCTTATTCAATCTTGCTATACGTCCAAGCTCGGTAGTTGGAAGCAGAACTGAGACTGGATGTGACTGAAGGAAAAGGGAGATAGGTGTGATAGGAGGGCACGGTTAAACAGGTAAGCGAAGGCTCTCTCTCTCGCTCTGTGGTCTTGTGTGAACTCCTTTCCGCCCATTATTGATCTTCACTCTAAGTGAGCAGGTCAAAGCAGTTGAGGTGATAGCAATAGTAAGCAGGGAAGCAGAAGCAAAAGGTCTTCAAAGAACTTTTGTGTAATAAAGCTTCTTGGTCTCATTTCATTGGTCTCTAAGGCAAAGTCTCGCTTAATCGTTCATCGATCTTTTTCTGTAAGGCCTCGGGCCCCACGAATTCCGATTTCTGTTTTTGTTTGTATTAAAGTGTTGGTAGCTTCTAGCCTCGAGCTGGAAAGTCTCATCGGCGGGGGTACTATAGATATATCATAACTCTCTAATTGAGACTCAATCTATACAATCAATCAATCAGTATGTGCAATATACCGGTCTTTGCGATATGCTCTTTCAAATAGATCACAGATCTTCCCGCTTAGCTGCACTGCTCTCTGAGCTCTTTTGTCCGCTATCGCTTCCTCTAGTACTAGCTCTGATCTCTCTTCAGCAGTTGCAGTACGATTCTTTAATTCATCTCCTGCCCTTTATAGTCGTAATCGCTAGAAACTCTATATCATTGGCAATTGGCATTGGCGTAATCTTTTTTCTCCTGTCGGAAGGGGGTCCTGTCGAAAGCAAGAAAAGGCATTGCAAATGGCGTGCCCTTACTCTAATTCTAAATAAAGCTCTTTTGCGCTCTTGGTCAGGCCTGTAACAAGTATCTAAAAAATCTTTTCTTTTCGGCCTATGGTTCGGTCAAAGCAATGACTTGAGTGAGTAAGGAAGTAGGACCTTTTTACCCCGGCTGTGAGTTATTACTGACCCCTCTCTGTCTCTCCCCCGCGCTGTGAATGAAGTGAGTAATTCGTTGGTGCTTGCCCTTCAGTAAGTAGTTCGGATGGCTGGATACATGCTACGCTCTGCCACGCTTGCCTGACCGCGAGAAGCCTTAGGGTAAAATAATCTTGAACAGCAATTTGAGAGCATCTTTGGAATTGAAAGAAGGGGCTAACCTGACTTTCACTTTCATAAAAAGAGAAAACTGGACTTGCACTTTAAGAAATGGAATTGCGATGAGCCAGAAGTTAGAATCTCGCCTAACCACCTGTCTCCGTCTCCCGTAGTTCCCCCCAGAAACATCCGTTTGCCTACTTCTACTCTGGCCGGGGGTAACAGTCTTTTTGAGAACCAAGTGGCCCTTGAGGAAGACCTTCAGAAAACCCCTCTAACTCGGGGAAAGGAATTCAAGCCCATAAAATGAGTCAAGTCTATGATAGGTACCAATAGTCTTTATGGCGCTCTTACCCCTTATGCAAAGCACCAATGACTTCGGTCTTCTGAAAGGGGCTTAGGGCATATCATCAAAGAAAGAATCCCGAGGAAGGGGGTGAAGCTGAGGTTAGAAACGGTTTCTCCCGCTGTTGCTAGTTCTTCCGTTGTTGGTAGTTCCTCAGGTCGGGTTGTTTATTTTTCAGAGCTTTTTCAATTCTTTCAGAACCTTTCGTATGCGCCTATTGGAAGATTTGGGCTACCTCCTCTCTTTCCGATCTCATTCAGATAATAAGCCAGTCCGGTTTATTAGATAGTGAGTGGGTAAGAGAGGTGCTTGGTCTGTCTCCGAATGTGGGCCTAGAAGCATTAGCCGAGTCTCTGAATATTCCCGAGGGTTCTCAGGATAAAGACAGCCTTAAGGTGCTAACGGAGCTTCCACGGTCTCAGTCCATGAAGGTGCTTGCTTTATTGGTTGGCAGCTTGGTTATAGTCGTTATGAAGAATGAAGGAGCGACGAAGGAGCTCACTTCCACGACATGGGAAAGGATCATGGGATGAGGAAAAGAAAGAAAAGGTGCAAGGTGAGGAGATATCGAGAGGTAGAATAGGTGAAATGAGTTCAAAGGAATTAGTTAAGACACGCTTCTTTAGCACAGGCCACGGAGTGAAGTTGGAAGGTTCAATGAACTACGCGAAGGGGAAATCTTGGGCGCTATTGTTGTCTATATACAAGTGGCGTAGGCGAAGCTGTGGCGACTCGTGGAGTAGACAGCGAGCTCCGCTTGAACAGAAAGCAGCAAGCTGCAAGCACTACTCCAAAAGCAGTGAGCTCCGCAACAAAAGCGAAGCGAGCCGCGGTAGCCTATTAAGTTTTTCAGCTGCATCGTACCGTACTATGGGAGGGGTCCGTACCTCCTTTAGATAGAGCCCCCCTGCTCCTAATGTAGAGCTAGAACTACTGCTACCGTGGAATCCGCGGTCACACATAAGTATCTCGCCTTCCAAAAAAAGCGGCTGCTAATTAGCACTAATGCTAATGGGGACCATCGATCAAGAAGGACTTCGGAGACTGCAATCGAATTGATCAAAAAAGAGAAATAGGGCCAACTCTTCTAGTTGCGCCTCTAACCTTACTACGCTACCCTGATAAAAGGTCGAATTCAGCAGGACTGCAGGCACGAAATGCCGATCAAATCCGTTAAAGGAAGCCTAATCAAAGCGGGCAAACAAGAAGATCTGACTGAGTTGATGATGGACCGGATCTCGAAAGGCGAGAGGCTTTCATAAAGACGTATGAGAAACGGAGGGTCGAGAGAGGCTTATTGCACGATCCACCCAACCGCTAATAAATGCTGCATAAGATAAGAGAGTGGGAGGCCGGCCCCCGCCCATCTGGAGGTGCACACCCATTTATGAACATATACAAAGGGCTAAAGAGAGAAGTCCATGGAGAACTACCAAATCCAATGACTTTGATTTGTTCGTACCATTCTGTCATCGATCACTGCTGGGTCGGTTGGTGAGTCACCCAAAAAAAGCATCGAGAAAGGTCAAGCATATATGTTTTATGAAATGATCAGCGGTTTCATTTATGCTATGCCCTGCATCGTGTTCGTCTGTGTTTATTGAGCTTTCAGCGCCATGCGCTTTGCTTCGCTTTATAAAAGAGAGAGAGCCTTGTCTTGAGAGTGAAAAGAAAGGGCAAGCGATAGAAAGGATAGTCCCTCGCGCGTTCGCGAGAACTACTAGAAAATGGTGAGATCATTAGATCATTAGTGAAAGAAGGACCAACGACGATCCTATCCTAAAGGAGAAGAAGGAGTAGGAGGAGTCAGTTTTCTTTGAAGATCGAGGAATCAATCTCCCAATTATGCCATTCGGAAGAAGTCTTCTACAGAGGGAAAGCCTGTTACGAGTAAGTGGAGAGGAAAGATCTCCAGAGATTCTTATCTCATTCCATTCCAGTGGCTCAACCAGTAACCAATGGCGAAAACTAAAAAATCCATGGTTTCCCGGTAGAACCCTATTTCGCCCAAGTTGTTTCAGAACCGGAAAAAAGAAGCGGTTTTTCGCACAGCTTGCGCATAGTGCAGGTCCCACTTGTATATCGTATTTGGCCGAAGAAGCATCGGACAGGTTGGAGTTCTTACCTTCTTGGGATTCCATGGACCAAGATCTGCTTTTATTATATGGGCAATACCGATCTACTTTAGTAGATCATATGGATGTAGAAAAAGCTTCTCATTTTGATGAATTGGAAACATCTCTTTTCCATTTCTATTTACCCAGTTCATATCTTTGTTTCGTGTGTTCCCCGGAGGAATTCGATCTCTTCAATCTCGGCGGGATACCACCTAAATAACTATAACTGCGGCCAGAGAGTCAAATAGGTCGGGAAGAAAGAGTCTGAGGTTGGGTTGGACGACATACATCTTGGTTGGTCCCACCACCACTGGGGATTGGACATATATAGAATCTTTCTTCTAAAAAAGTCTTATTATATATATATATAATTTTATATTCTTATTTATTTAAATAGCTGCAAGACCACAAAACGGGGTGAAAAAAACCGAAAGCCCTTCTTTTAAGTTCCTCCCAGATACATGGCTTACATACCCGGCTCAACATTCTTGGAAAACAATCGAATCGAGGGTCCGGAGGAGAATTGGCCATTCAATCTTGTGAACTAATCGAGACCGAAATTGGAGAAAGAGATACGAACGGAAAGGAATAACCAATCGATGAAAGAACATGAAACCATTCTGTTTCAATAGAGGTACGAGAAAGGGTTGGGGGCAATGAAGTAGGTGAAGTGGTTGGATTTTGCGAGCTGTTCCCACCACTGCTGGATGTGATTCCAAGA